CGTAGATACAGTTTACTCAAAAAAAAGTATCAAAAGGATTATTTGAATATAAAAGAAGTTAACGGTAAGTAAAAATATACGCAAAGCATATTGTATATCAAATAATTGTGATGGATAATAATATGTATCAAAAAAACATACGTGTTAAATTAATGTCCGACTAGATAAAATAGCTTGAAAAATGTGGTTTTTATCACTTTCGTCAGAAAAAAAATCTTATATTATTGTCTAATTTTAGTTTACGTTCATATTAGCTTGTTTGGCGGGTTATAATCTGAAAAAGGTGCACACAATAACCTAAAGTAATGCCACTGAGTTCATAGTCTTCATTCAGAAGGTTATTATTTGGGACATTATAATTTCGGTACCAATATTAACCGGATTATTTCATTAATGTACATACAAAATTTATTTTAATACAAAAATTGACTTAAGTAAGTGATGAAATAAGTCATATAAATATTACTAAAAACTTCATAAAATTATTTGATCATTTGTTCAATCATTCCGTGAAAAAAAAACATTCATTGTAAAATCAAATCGTTATTTTAATCATTCGTTTAAGAAAATCATTTTATCATTCATTTAACTCAATGTTAAAAAGTAAAAAAATAATGTATCATATCTAAATAGTGTTAAAATCTCAAGTTCAATAAAAAATTTATAATTTAATATCTTACTATTCAATAGTAATTTATATCTACAGGATATTTAAAGTTTCTATAATGGTCCGAAAAAAGTGGACAGACAATGAGCTTCAGTTGGTACTTGCTATTGTTCGGTTTGGTCGATCTGTTTCAAGTGTCAGTAAGGAAAGTGGTATTTCAAAAACGACTCTTATACAAACTCAAAAAAAAGTCGCCAATAGGCAGCAGACATGCTTGCAACAGATATATTGCAATCCCAGTCACTAATCAGGCTGTTAATATAAAGCATCGGTCATTAACTGGGTCAAACATAGTCACTAACTGGGACAAAGCAAAATCGAGCGGATACTAATAGATACATTTACATATAGCGATATCTGTTATTTTATGAATAAGAATGTATACAGTATTACAAGATTATAGCGATGATTTTCAATTGATAAATGATCTAGCTTTCCTATAATAATAAGAAAGGCTTTCAACTGAAAGCCGAATTTTGTTTACTTAAATCTCATTCATTACTTTCATTAACTTTACTTGATTGCTAATTGGTACATTCATCTTATTGAACATTCGATCTATTCGAATAGTTCGAATTTAAAAAAAATGAGCATCTAATTCGAATATTTCGGACAATTTGAACAGTTTGAGCTTAAACAGTGATCAGAGTATGAAATGTCAATTCGTTATGTCTGAAGTTCAGACGATTCGGACAATAAACAAATGTAGTATACCTTGGAAACAAAAAAGCAGTTTTTTACGAGACTTCAATATTATTCAATAAACATTACAAAAATGTCAAAAAGAAAAAATTGCGTGTAGGAATATTTTATTGAATGTAATAATAATGAAGCACAATATAACATTTGTAAGTAAACATTCAAAACAACGCATTCATTTACAACTACATTGAATAGACACCTCGAAAAAATCTACAATATAACTGTAAATGCGTTTAAATACGTAAATACGTATTGTAATTGTAAATACGTTTTCGTTTAAATAGCAAGTCTTAATTCTAAATCTAATATGAATTTATTTGTCGTTTAAGCTTTAATACATCAAAGTACATGAATGTACATGTAAGTACAGTTCAGAAGATGAAACACATGTGTAATAATGTCACAATATATATAACTGAATGTACACATTAAATTTACATAAAATTCCTATATTTATTGACATCATCCTACAAATATCCATCTTGAACATATTCAGGATGATCCCAACTTGTGATATCTGAATTCGAAATGTAATAATTTTGAACTTTCAGCTCTGAAGTGGATTCAAATAGTTCGAATATACATTCAGTCCGAACTATTATATTTAATATTCGAACTTGAGATTCGAACTGTCTGAATTGTCAAATCGTCTGATATTTCCGAGCACTAGTCTCGAGCTGTCAAGTCGTAACAACATTTGCTTGATATGAAAGTTTTGATCCTTTTTTATAACACAAGTATGATTAGCTATTTTTAATGTATTTTTTTGTTTGTTGAGCCCAAATCCATTGACTAAATTGGAGGGCTAGCTATCCTAGTTAGACATATCTACTTACATCGTGTCCAGTGACTAGTATAAATAGCGTATTCGATGTGGTACCTTTAAATAGTATTTATTATTATATTTATTATTATAATTATTTTATAGTCTGTTTTTTTTAGCTACAAAAAAAGAGTTAAACTGTATAAAAAATGCAGTTAAAAAGAATTTACTCGGAATCGAATTGAATCAACAAATTGAAGATTGGGAAAATTACTTTATAAGTTATATTTTAGGTTACCTTATGTGTGTTTATTATAGAAATTAAGTACAACAGTAATACAAAATTGAAGTAAATGATAAAATATAATATAAAAAATAAAATAAGAACTTATTGTTCTCAATTTCTGTAATAAAAAGTAACTCATAAGTAAATTGTAAATTGTAACTTTCCAAACACACTGAATCGAATATGCTAAAATAATTTATTTTGTAATTTATTGTGATGTGTGTACCAATTTAGAGTTCATCGATAAAGAACAGATCTCAAATTTGGCGTAAGAGTCCCAATTGGACACATTGCTAAATGATTAAAATGAGATATGTTCTCATCGATTGAGCATACATGTTACGATTGGACACCAGCCACTCGCAGTATTTAAACTGTGGCGATTATATCGCCATTACTCCAGCTAAAAAATGCATTCGAAAAAGATTTAATTTTCATCGAGAGAATATCGTGTTCTCGGGATCACGAGAGAATACTCGCAAATATGGGAGACTTGCTCAGCTATTCAAGTTAGAAAAAAGGACAACAGAGAGACAGACACGAGACGGGTAAAGCGTCGAATGTAAACAGTGGCAATGAAAGCGAGGAATAATTGGCGACAGATTATCTCATTTGCGAATAAAATCTCAGTAGATATTTAAAATCCGACATTACAGCCAAGTGCAATAGTGCACATGCTGTAATCCGCTGGGAGAGGCAACCGTTGTACGTCACGAGAAAATTAGATAGAATGAGCCAAAGAAGTATTCTTTTAAAATCAAAACTTCGGAACCTTCTAGAATAATCGAAAAACAAATAGTTTTTCTCTGAGTATGAGGTTGAGCAGCGAGAGGTAATCGACACTCTTCCGCCGGCGCTCGCTTAGTGCTTGTAAAATCCGTCTAGCCTCGAAATAAAAATACATGTTTTTTTTTTACCAGAAACGGAGTCTTTTTTAGCGCTGATTATATCCTGTGATCTTATCACTATCCAATATTTCGCGATAAAATGTCTAAAAAACAGTGGGAAACCAATAGGTATTGACTGCTGTGAGTGGCTGTTCAATTATAATGTGATTAATCGGGATCCTTCCGTTCTCTCGTATGTACGAGTACACTGAAAAATTACTAGCCATTGACCGATGAGAATGGATGTATCCAACTGGAATGTACCCATCTAGGATTTTTTCAATTTGCCAACGGATTCGTGTGTTCAGCAAGTAAGAATATATAAAAAATGACTATTCATATCGTGTTGTAAAAAAGTTCAAAAAGAGGATGTTAAAAAGGATTTTTGCTCAAAAAGGTGAAAGTACGCGGAATAATGTTTTTTATAGATTTTAACTTCCTGAATACGATAATGTTAATAAAAAGTTCGGATCGATAGGGAACACCTTGAATATTGAGCATGATATATTTAAAGAAATTTCAATAAGTATTCTTGTTTACTTTTTAAGGTATTCCCCAAATACTACGAACTTTTTAATTTTATCCTATTCAGAAGGTCAAAATCTACAAAAACCACTATTTTTTTTACTTATATTCTTTTGGATAAAAGTCGGTCCGTTTTTGTCCTTCAAAAAAAAGCAGATTTTTACCCAAAAAAATGTAAGTAAAAGAAATAGTATTTTTTATAGATTTCGACCTCCTGAATATGATAAAATTATTAAAAAGTTCGTGGCATCTAGGCAACATCCTGAAAAGTAGTAGTTCAACAAGAATGTTGAAATTTCTTTAAATATATCATGTTCATGTTTAATTTTTAAAGTGTTCCTTATCGATCCCGAACTTTTATTAACACTATCGTATTTAGGAAGTCAAAATATATAAAAAACACTATTTCTTTTACTTATACCTTTTTGGTAAAAAAAATCGATCTCAACATCATCTTTTGTCGGTCAAGCAATCAATAATTTTATAAAATTATATGGAAATTTTAAAACAAAATATGTTTTGTTAGAAGATTTGCAGGTTTTCATGTCATGTCATCCATTGCTGATGCCAATGTTTTGTGAACTTTGCCGTTCACTTCATTAGGGCGAGAAACGCATTGATATGATACTGGATCATGACATAATGATAACCCGTAAATACTTCTAGCATCTTAGAAGTAAATACCCATAGAAGTCTCAAAAATATTGTTACACTCACATCATATACGTACTAGCAGAATATTTCACTCGCATCGCGGATCACGAATGGATAAAATAACTCTCGAAAAAATAACTCCGGTCTTTTAAGAACGAGAAAGTTTTATTACAAAATGAACACGTAACTAATACAGAGAAAACCGCAACAGTATGTAACGGCCCGACACGCTTCAAAAACGTCAGTTTTACAGTTCAAGTTCTCTTTATCCAAAACTCTCGATCGTCGCTTATTCAACACGTCGTCGCAGAGACAAAATACTTTCAACTTTCAAGTTGATAACAGCAATTCGATGGAAGAGAATCAAAATCGCCAATTGTAACAGTATTATCAAATATTTTTTATATAATATTTAAATAATATGAAAAATTATATTTTTTTAGTATAAGAATAAATTATACTACTAAAACGAAGAGACAATCAATACATAGATGATTATATATATATTATATGTACCTTGTATCAGTGAAATTATTATTCCTCAAACGTAAATCTTTTCGGCAATTAATTGCCACTGATATATCATTTGGAGATTTTGGTGGGGACGTAAATCCAATAGATCTTCTATCTATTGTAGGTGAGCTGGGAGCTGATCGTGGCTGATGAAATCTCATATTAGTTTCACTTCTATTCAATCGTCCTATCTCCCAAATAAATATTTATAATAGATATAATATTCATAAATATACATTTAATATTTTTATGTGTCATAATAATAATAAAGATTACAAAGATCACATACCTTTCCATTTTAATCCTTTATAAGCCGTTTTCATATCTTTGCCTTTATCTTTCACCTGTAGATATCAACCTTTATATTTCTTCCATTAACTCTTATTCTAATAGATATTAAATAATATAGAAAGTTATAAATATAATGTTTAAAAATGTTAACTGACTAAATCATACATGATTATATACAAAACAATGTTTGTAATAAATTATGTTTTAAACTTACTGATCTAACAGCATATTTTACTGCTGGATTGGCCTGCAATTGAAGGTAGCAGAATAAAATATTACTTTATTTTCTTTTACAATAAAGGGAGATAGCAGATATTTTGGAGATAAATTCTATAATAAATTCTGTCCAATTTAATTGAAATGTTAATGTAACATGCCTTATCTTTTACACTACGGAAAAATGCGGAGCTCTCTTTTCGCATAGTGTAAGTCCACTCCCTATATTGTTGCATAAATTTACTACTTGATTTGGCTGAATAACTGCAGGCTTCCATTTCGAATTCATCTGAGAACCCTAGTCCCGAATTAAGCATATTTAATCTTTCTTCTATAAACTGAAAATATTCAAAATGTTTTTCTTTAGATTATATCAAGTAGTTGTAATTATACTATAATATAGTATAATTAGACAGTGCTTGGAGTAATGTCGTATATTTCGGCCAATTCCTGAGGCGCTGTCTGGTGTCCTACTACCGCTCAAAGCTCAAACTGCTGACACCGACGAGATATTATTAAGCCCATGATATAAAAACAAGGGTGTCTATGTGCAGGATACAATCACGTGACAGTCGAACGATCAATCAGAATTGTTGACAAGTTACGTCATCGTTTCGTGATAAATTCGAATGTATTATTTATCAGTATACTTTACAGCGCTCCTTGCAATATACAATATTTTAACAAATATTGTACAAAAAATATTAAACACAAAATAAATATTAAAAAACAATATTATAAATACAAAAATATTATAATAAAAAAAGAAATACTAAAAATAAAAATATATAATATATTTCAGAAATTTATTTAACTCCCTCAAGTACTAAGGTTGGTTCGTGAGACCACGTTTAAAGAAGAAAAAACGCTATATTTATACGAAAGAAAGATCGCTATATTTATATTTCTACGCTATATGTTATATCAGTTTGATTAATAAAACATAGATTTCTAAAATTGTTGCTGTTTTTATTCTAGTTCTTATAAATCAATGTCTCAAGAAACAACTTTAGAAAAAAAATGTCGTTATTTTACCTTAATGATTAAAAGAATGGAGTGGTCAAATTGTCAGTATTTCGCAGATCAACATAAATCTCCGAAATTTACTGAACGAAATCAAAAATTTTTTTATAGGATTAAAATAGACGCAAAATTTGGGAGCGCTGTAATAGATTTAAAGTTACAAATATTTTTTTCAACTCGTAGAGCTGTCACCTGACGTAGATGTTTCCTTAATATAAAAGCTTTATTACTCGTATGGATCACACGATAGTGCACCACTCAGCGCATGACGTGCACAAACAATAATGAGTTTATGAAATTAAGATTAGAAGCTTCAAAAGAAAGATTTATATCGATCTGCAAATGACATGTATACGAACGCTGAGCGAAGAAAAATGGTAAATAAAGCAATAATTGTGTCTAGCTAGGTGTTCGATCTTCTAAAAGATAGCGTAGCAATATGTTAGATAAGGACAAATGAATACATTTGAGCGAGACACAATGATATACGTATATAATAAATATAAGAAATGAATGAAAATTGTAGACTACTACCGAATTTGGAATAGTTCTAATACAAACGGCTCCAGCATCCCCATTTAATGAATATTTTTTATTACTTAGTTAGCTCTCTAGATTGTGAAAAGTGTATCATTTTTTCAAAAATATTTTCTCCATAATTTATTTCAAACCAAGAATTGAAAACTTATGCATTTTGTAATTTGATTAATTATTTTATTATATATATTAATATTATTAATTAATATTATTAATATTATTAATATTTAGTTATATTATTGGGTGCATTAATTTTAAGGGATTTTTTAGTAAAAATACGGCTTTATTATAAAAAAAATGATCACAAATTGATCATTCAAAATATTGTCCATCGCTAGCCACTACTTTTTCCCATCCTTCTGGTAATAGATGGATTCTACGTCGAAAGAACACTCACAGACACATTTTTTGAGGCTATCCACGAATCGACTCATTTTTTCGCATTTTCATAAGAATGGAAACGCTGCTTAGACAGGCCATGAGTCATCAATCGAAATAAGTGGAAGAAGCAATATCTGGAGAATACGGCGGATGTGATAGGACATCTCAGTTAAGCACTTCTTGATCGGTTTCGCAAAATGTGACCGAGCGTTGTCGTGCTGAAAAATCTTTGTCGTGTCTTTTTGCATAAACTGGCCATTTTTGCTTCAATGCTTAGCTCAATTGCATCATTGTTGGTAGCGTTCCTCAGTAATGGTTTCGTTGGGGAGTAACTCATAATACACTACATCGAACTGATCCCACCAAATACAGAGCATGAGCTTGACGCCATGAATATTCGGCTTTGCCGTCGATGTTGATTCGCCTGGCCTGTACCATGATTTTTTGCGCTTCGGATTATCGTAGCGTATTCATTTTTCATCACGCGTCACGATACGATGCAAAAAATTTTTTCTTCTGTATCATTGAAGCAACAATTCACAGGTTATTTTGCGCCTTTCGACGTCCTTCAGTTCAACTCGTACGACACCCAATTTCCTTGATTTTTGAATCATTCCAGTGGTCTTCAAACGTCTGGATCGTTAATCGATCAACATTTTTAATGATTCTGCAAATTCTTCTTGCGTTTGACTCGGGTCTTGATCGAATAAAGCTTTCACTTCCTCATCTTCAAATTTTTTCAACTGGCCTGGATGTTTCTTGCCATCCGTGTCAAAATCATCTTTTTTATAGCGTTGAAATCAGTACTCATATGTTGAAATCGACGGAGTATAATCACCATAAGCTTCCAACAGTATTCATTGACTTCCAGCAACATTTTTCTTCAAATGGAAGCAAAAAAGCAAAGCTTCGCGCAAATTGCGTTTTCTTGGCACAAAATTTGACATATTCAATACTCAAAAAAACAATGTTGTTTATACTTCGGCAAAATGACACATACTGAAAATTAAAGCCACATGATGGTCCTTTGGACATAAAGATAACAACAATATGGTACGATGCGGTAGTACTAGTTATGCCATCTCTTGAAAATCCTTTAAAATTAATGCACACTTCCAATAGTAAATAAACCAAGGAACAAGATTCATTATTTTCTTAATTAATTATATCACATTAATAATATCACAAAATACAATCACGGGAAAAAGCAATTTTTTGCACGCGCGCGCGCACATCTCGAAAATACTAAATTCCTTATTGTGAACGCTGACTCAATTATACTTTCTTAAAACTTTATCTTTGATAACGGAGATATTTCGATTTTCAGACTTCACGCCATTTAAGGCAAACTGCTTCATCTTTTGGAAATGAAAAATATTTCACCGGAAGATTTTTTGTTTTTCGATAATAATTTTTACATGCACACTTTATTTTAAACTGTGATCACAAAATACAATCACTTTATAAACAGACATACTCACAGCCGTGATTTGCGATCATGGCTGTGTTCACTTTGCTGCTTACAATGCTTTAAGTGTTGTTTCATTTTTGTTATTTATTAAATTTAAACAAGGACAAAATCACTCGAGGCTGACGTAACTTGTTGACAGTCACGTGTTTACCCCTTCTTTTCCATATCTGCGCAACCGGGTTATCACCGGACGAGCGTACTCTTGTCTTTATTATAATTAAGCCTAGTCTACAATCAGATGGGAGACGTCGAATGTCGTGCGCATGCGCACAACCTTGATTTTTACATGTCGGATGTCAACTGTCGGCTGCCGTGCGTCATTTGGAAAATAGTCAGGTCCCATCTTTTACAATTAACGACATCCAACAAGCGTCATCCGACTTGATTGCAGACGAGGCTTTAAACATTGTTGGCTCTGAGCAAATTTTTGTAACTATCAATGAGCCCTGGGGGCCCGGAGATAATTGAAGAACGATTACCGTCAAATTAATAAAAATTAATAAAAATTAATAAAAATTAATATAAGTATTTTGATAATATATTATTAAATTCGTGATTTATTATATAAATGCTATTAGGTGTACAAAAAAGTTCTGAGCTTTAGATTTGATACAACCGAAATAACAATTTAAATTTTATATATCTTCCCGCCCTTTTGCGGTTTTAAAGCGTTAACATTTGGCCTTCTAAAATGTCATACGATTTGGCGTTTGATGCACATAATCTCAAAAATCAGTAGTGTTCACGATGGCAATAACAAAAGAGCATATTCGATTTTCCATCCACTTCGCGTTTCATCTGAAGAAAAATGCTACTGAAGCCACTGCAATGATTTGTGCTGCATATGGAGAGAACGCTGTAAGTCATGCTACATGTAAAAGACGGTATCAAAAGTTTCGCAAAGGAGATTTCAGTCTTAAAGATGAATCGCGTGCTGGACGCCCTGAAAAGATTGAAACGGACGAATTGCAAGCACTGCTGGATATAAACTCTGCGCAAACTGAAAAGGAGCTTGCAGAACAGCTTGGCGTTACGCAGCAAGCCATTTCCGTACGATTACATACGATGTTTTGATTGAATTTTACAAAAAAAAGCTCAGAACTTTTTTGTACACCTAATAAATAAATAAGTATGCATACTTTTCATGCTATAATATCTTATATTGAAAAATTACAATTTTTTATCTATAGTTACCATCTCTATTGAAAAATCAAACTCGGATGATAATATTAAAATCACAGTTTTAAAAATCGAGTATTATTAAGTTTTAAACATATATATATGTTTAAACAAAACTAATAGATCATGAAATTACCGTATGAAGTATCGTATTATCAGTTTCTTACTCTTAATCTTAACTTAAATTTTAACAGTCGCGTAAACTTTTGTAAGCATCAACCATCTTCAATAGTATCTCGTCGGTGCTGCTGATCACGCGTGTGACGCTGTATTTCAAAAGTGAAAAGAGAAATATTACGAAATAAGAAATATGCTGGGATCTCTTTGGTAAATTATCATTAAAATATTTTTTCCTACATAATTTTTATTTTCATAAATAATTAAATTAAATTTTCTAATTATTAACATATAATCTATAATACACTAAATATAACTAACTAATTATAATATGATATAATTGCAATATGGACAATGGCTTTCCATTGTCCATATTATCTTTGAATTCTTAGAATGCTATTATTGATGCGTTTTTCAAGGGTTTCTCCAGTAGATTCTTTCACTAAAAAAGTAACAAAAAAATGATCAAATATGTGACTCGGCAAAGTAAAATTCTATATTATAAGTTTTACATTATTTTCATGAGTAATTAAATTAAATTTGTGTTATTATTAACATATAGTCTACAATAATTTACAACAATTACAATATAATATAGAATATAAACAATAGCTTTCCGTGTTACCTTTAAATATGTAATAATCATATTGTAATTACTGTCAATTATATTATTGCAGACTGTAATATGTTAATAATAGAAAATTTAATATTAAAAATATTATGGCTCAAATGATTAATAATTAATTCAATAAATGAAAGGAATCAACGCGAGTTAAATTATTTTTGTCAATATTTTAATGCCATTATAAACAAACGTTTTGACCTTTTAGGTTTTTTTTAGTTTTAATTAAAATCTAAATAATAAAAGTCAATTATAAATTAAAAGTGGTAACACGAACATATTCTAACTTATAGGTGCTTTTTAAGAATAAATAACGCTGATTACAATGATTCGTTCAAAAATCAATTCATCTAAGTGGTTTTCATTATATTGGATTATACAATTGTGTTCTGTAACTTCCTGTCAATATAGTGTAGGCTTCAATCTGTCAAATTTAAATCTCATCCTGCGGCTTTATAAAAAAAACGTTTGTTTATAAAAGTTTACATTAAAATATTGACAATAATAACTTGCTTTAGCTCGTTAGCTCCTTTTATTTATTAAATAGAAAATTTAATTTAATTACTCACGAAAATGAAAATTATGTAAAACTTACAATATAGAATTTTAGTTTGCCGAGTCATATATTTGATTATCTTTTTTGTTCTTCTTTCTTAGTGAATGAATCTGCTGGAAAAACCACTTTAAAAAACGAATCAATAATAGCATTTCAAATATGGAAATGGCTATTGTTCACATTGTAATTATCATTTGTAATTATTATCAATTATATTCTTGCGGACTATAATATGTTAATAAAAAATTTTATTAGTTATGAAAATGAAAATTGAATTGTAGAAAAAAAATTTTACAATAATAATTGGCTGCAATTGGCGCAGATGATTCGATCATTGAAATCGCCTTAAGAATCGACTCGAAATGTGCAACTAATTCAGAGCACGGCATTGTATCTATAACACACTTACTTGTTGGAAAATTTGTAATTCTAACATTTTTCGTAAAAAGGGTTGCATGGAAGATGGCCTACTTTCAACAAATGCATTTTGATTAAACGTGATACGCTCACCCTGCTGTAAAGTTAATGCTTCTCTATAACCTGTTTTTCTTGATACGCCATCTCCAAGAAGAGCCGATCTATTGCGTAACGCTTTCTTTAAATTCGTCACCTACAACACAGAAATTTTTTACTTTATTATTTAAGGCATTTATTAATCCTTAAAGATACATATATTAGTGTATCATAGCACTATATCGCTTTACGCACTACATCTTGAGGTAAAGACTCCAAATCTTGAAATGGTGACTCAATTGTATTATTATCAGCATCTAATATAACAACTTCTCCTAAATCACTTTTCGGTACTTTCTGCAAAAAATATTATACAAATATTATATACTTATACTGTTAATAAGTAACGTTCATAAATATTATAATAGTAACATCTTTGTCGCATTTTACGAAAAATTAAATATCTCGATGAAAAAAGTCGTAGAGAAGATTTCGAATATGCATTTTAAAGCTAAGATTTTAAAAGCGTAAAGGACTTTAAAATCGCGTTTGAATTTTTTTGTTCTTAAATTATATAAAATTGAAAATTAATATTTTTGTCTTACTTTGAAGCGCTGCAGTTTGATGAAACATTTTAGAACAAAATTTAATATAAAAGAATTTTAAAGTAATCATTCTAAACTTTAAAATGCTTTTAAAAGAAAAATTAGTACAATGATTTTTCGCAGATATCGAATTTTTTTATTGTGTAAAATTTTATTGTATAAAACCACTTACTTTTTCTAAAATATTTTGTAATTTCGGAACTTATGGAAACAAAAGAGAAAAATGTTTATCATAATGTGCTTAATTCGTATAAATTTTTTCTAAATTTTTTAAAAACTTTTTTGACTCTCAATTTTAAAATAAGTTTTACACAACATTTCATACGGCAAAAAAATTTCATATCTTTGCGAAAAATCATCGTACTAAGCTGTTTCAAAAAGCGTTTTTAAGCATAGAAAAATTACTTTAAAATACTTTTATATTAAATTTTGTTCTAAATGATGTTTCCCAATGATGTTTCATTAAACAGCGGTTAGTAAGAAAAATATTGTAAAAAAATATCAATTTTTAAATTTATGTGATTTAGGACAAAATATAGAAAAAAATTCAAACGAAGATCTAAGAAGATCCTCTTAAATCTTTTGTATTATCGTTTAAATACAATAATTTTTGTATAACAATTACTTGTCTTCTCTTTTAGAGGATTTGCAAATCCTTTTCCAGGATTAAACTATACGCATTGATACATGCTGTGAGATGGAGTTTATGCCGAGAACAAAAAAAATTGTTTAAATCTTTACACTTTCTTATTCCAATATGGTGTAGAGCTGTCATAACATTTGTTCGACATAAAAGCTTTGTAATTTGTATCTACGAAATTGAGGGACTGAATTCTATAATAGGATACGTGTGGATGTTGCGGGATAAGTAATGTCCGCCTAATTTTGGATATCGTTCTAATTTCGATTTTGACGATTGATTCTTGTAGAGAATTTCATAACGCATCTTTTTGTGTTTAAACCAAATTTGTAATTTTTATATTTTCAAGTTATGAACAGAGAAAAAAATAATTTTAAAATGAAAAAATTTCAATGCATTTTTGTTTTCAATTCGGCATATCTCAGCCAAATATGAATATTTTTCTTTGAAACTGTTACAGAATAAACTTCTACATGCAGTAGCATTCAAAAGTATTTTTTCAGTAACATTTTTATTAATTTATCTACAGCGGACGTTGATCCGACACAAACATGGATGGCGTTGTTATTACAGGGTAAGGTAACAATTTGTGTTACACTGAAATCGTACATTAAAAGATTAATTCTTTATTTATTGACAAATATCTATACGAATAAAAAATATTTTGTTGGTTGAAAGAATAAAGCAAATACACTGTTCACAACATATGTTCACAATAAAAAAAAATATCAAAATAATTATGGAACAAATGTGTAAGAGACTTAATTTTATAATGAAATTTTTTGATTTTATAATCACGGTACATAGATGGGACATTGAATCTATGAGCTTCTCTATCTTGACCATTCTTGCAAAACAGCGTGTAACTCTCGTCTATGCGAAAAATTTCGACGTCATGTCCGTGTGTCATCCTTCTCTAAAAAATGTTTTAGAGTTAGAGTCCGAACTTTAAGCTAGGCAAATCCAAAATTTTAATTTTGTTTTATTTTAAAAAGTCTTTTACAAATTGAGAAGAAAGCTTTGGATCGTTGTCTTGTTGAAATCTTTTGGGCATTTTTTTTATCATAAAGTAGCATGACTTCAAGATGTCTCAATAAGCAAATTAGTTCATTATTGTCTCTAAGAATCAAGGAACCTGTCTCATTTCTGGGAAAATCCCCAGACCATAACGCAAAATTCATCATGTTTTATGAGTTAATTTCCGAACATCATTTTTTTTTATTTTTAGGACGGCGGATGTTAGGTATCATCAGAGGAAAAGAGATCGAACTTGCTCTCATCACGACTTTAACCTATACTTTAACCTAATCATCTTTTGTCCATGCCAAATGTTTCTTTACAAATACAAGTTTAACTTTTCGCTAAGTTTGAATTTTTACGCTAATCATTGGCGTAATTCTTAAATGGGATCTTCCCATTTAAAACTATATCTGTCAAGCGACGTTTTATACTTGAAACATGTAGCTTGCAACCGAAATTTCCCTATAAATCATTCCTTATTTCCTTGGCTATTTTATGTGGATCAGCACTAGATCTCATTCGAATAATTTTGTCCATTCTTTCTGCTGTCTTGCGTCAACTACTATTTGATTTGTTTACATTTTCAGTTAACCTCTTTTTTATACGAGAAATTTACAAGTTGCTGAGATAGACTAAAACGCTTTGCAATTGCACAGACTGAGTTTCTTCGGAGTACGGCGTTTAAAATATACTCTTTCATCCAATTCTATTGGATAATCTGCATTTTGGTATCATTAAACTTATATAAACAAATGCCTACCTACATAAACATTTTAATTATTAGGTGTTGGAATTAATTCGTAGCGTTTTACAAGTGATGGGAAGTACTTTCATTAATGTATTTTTTAATGCTCATGTGAAATAAATAACATTCTTTCATTAAAAAACGCTACGAATTAATTCCAACACCTAATACATAATCATATACTTGCTATTTATACTAATTATTGCTAATATAAAATTCTTATGATCCATCATATTATGAATATTTATTGAAAAATAAAGAACTAATCTTTCTATATAATACAATTTCAGTAGCACAAATCAAACTCTTTCCTGCAACGCCACCTATATTTGTCAGATTAACGTAAATATAATATAAATGTCACAAAATATTTTTGAGAGCTACTATATTTCTCAAAATATAGAATATATATAAAAAGTTTACGAAACATTTCACATTTGCATGTCAAATTTTTCGAAATATTTTTCTCAAATTCGTAATAATAACGATAATAATAATTTTATTCATTCGATCACAAAAGTTGTACAAATTTTCAAATTATCAACTTTTACCTATACTATCATTTTGTTTATTAATTAAGGACATTTCTTTTGGAAAGTTTTAGCTCTTTAAACATTAAGATAGTAATGATGATTTATACGTCGATGCGATTATTTATAATAGTAAACAATAAATTAAGTTGAAAAAGATTTTTGAAGTCTTTATATTTTGTTTTGATACATTATTGGCCTAGTTTACATCGTGCACTTGATATGGGTACTAGTAACTTTCTAATAATTAATAGAATAATCTTAATTTCGGCGATATGTTGAAACATATATTATACATGATATATGTATTATATTTAATTAATCATTGATGTATATTGTACCAAATTAATAGTACATCATTCTTTAAATACATTGTTGAAATTAAAATAATTTAATAGGAAGTTAGTACGTGTATCAAATGCACGATGTAAATTAAGTCATTGCTGCCTCTGTTTCGTGGAGAACGGTTCAGACTTTTGGATTGTGCGCTATGTAATCGCATCGATAATATAAATCGTCATTATTTTACAACCTTAATGTTTAAAGAACTAAAACTTTCCAAAAAAACTTCCTTAACTAAAAAACAAAATTGTAATACAGGTAATACAGTTGACAATTCGAAAATTTGTACAACTTTTGTGATCGAATGAATAAAACAACAAATTCGGAAGAAATATTTTGAAAAATTCGGCAACATTTCGAAAATTTTTTATGTGCCCTATATTTCAAGAAATATGTTGAAGTTTGTTCTGTGAAAGTTTAAAAAAAAATATTCATATTTTTGGCTGAAATATAACGAATCGAACACAAAAATGTATTAAAATTTTTTCATTTTACAAATTTTTTTTTTCGTACAAATTATTTTTTTCGTTTTTATAATTCGAAAACAAAAAAGTTATAAATTTGGTTTAAACACAGAAAAAATGTGCTATAAAATTCTCTACGAGAATCAAATGTCAAAATCAAAATTAAAGTAATGTTTAAAATTAACTCGGCGGATAATATTAGGTCGAGTCATAAATAACTTCCGATGCGGCTAGATAGCATCTATGTTCGTATCTACCCACTATAAGTCACTGGGACAAACAAGCTTTTTGCTTTCACTAAATAGATAAGGGTTCAGTTAGTCTTCTGACAACTGTTTTGTGTGGTGCACGTTTCATTAAACTGTTGTTCATAATCCCTAAAGTGGAGAGTGAAAAAGTGCATATTCGTCATGTGATGCTTTGGGAATTTAAACAGGGCAATAATGTTAAGGCGACAGCTGACAAAATATGCAGTGTATACGGTGAAGGTCTAATAAGCGATCGGGCAGTTAGAAATTGATTTACCAAATTCCGTTTCCAAATTTCTTCCAGTCCAAACCAACTACATTTTACAAGGAAGGAATTGATAAGCTGCCAGGAAGATGGGAGAAGGTCATACATAATATTGGTGAATACATAATAAATTAATATAACTTTATTATTTAATGGAAGCAAAATAAATGTCTGATAAAAAAAACGGAAGTTATTTATGACTCGACCTAATACTTAAAAAGACCGCGAAATCTACGCGTACTCTTATAGAATTCAGCCCTTCAATCGATTCAAAAATTAATAGTATTTACATGAATAAATAACATAAAAATCTTTAGAGAATTAGACTTATTATTAGACATCTAATTAAAATGCTATTGTTCTACAAAAACAATATAACAGAATTCACGCCAAATTAGACTTGCTATACGTCGATTGTTAAGCCTCCATAAAAGAAATATTTTCACCAAGTTTTAAGAGGATCTTAAAGTGAAGTCTGAACTCCGATGAGGTTATCAA